ACTAAATTCAGGCTTGACAGGATGCCCCCCTCCAACTGGAGGAACGTTCCTGCAAGACATAAAGCATAAGGCAATCACTTATGCCACTAACCTCCCCTCCCCTCACTGGGAGGCCCCTTCAGCTTCTGAAGGTACTTGTCATGGAATTGTTTTATCAACCTATCCGCATTTACCTTTTAACTTTTAACCCAGGTTGTTTCAGCATGGGGATATCTTTTCTACTGTATCAGATATTCTAACTGGCCTCTCTGTACTCTCAAGTGCAGGATCTTTTTTATTTCATAGTGGGTTTGACCCTCAATCACCAGCGGTTTGGGGGGAAGCCGATCCACTGGTGTGACTTGTGAACTTACTACCTGTTTCAACAGACTACTGTGAAATACCGGATGTATTTTCCCGAATAACCTGGGAAGTTGAAGTTGTACTATAACTAGGTTAATAACTTTAACTATATGGAATGAGCCCATATATTTAGGACCAAGATTTCTTGAGGCCAATTTTAATTTCAAGTATTTTGTGGACAAATACACCTTAAACCCTGGTTGAGGAGCATGGTGTTTATCAGCCTGCTTTTTATATGACTCCGCTGCTTTACTCAGGGCTGTTTGGTATTTTGCCATGCTTTTTTCAATGACACTATCTACTCTGTTAGCGACATGGAGGAGGGTGGCTCTCTAGGGAGCTCAGGCATAGGAACAAACTGCTGGTCACCTGGAAAGGTGACAGACCGGTGCTATTGTGCACTGCATTGTTATATGCTACTGTAAGGTCCCAGAAGTTTCCCTGAGCCACAGAGATGCCAAAGAGTGAGACTCGAGATGAAGCTTGCAAAAATAACAGCTTTTTTTATTCTTTGGCCAAAGCAAAAAGTCTGGGTGAATACTATGTCCAAAACATAAAGACAAAATGCATGTAAGGAATAGTCACATCCTGCAAGAATGGCTCAGAGTATTATATACATTTTACGCTGATAGAAACCAAGTTTATCCAATCAGAGACAAATGTTCATTATTAATGTGGGCAATGTCTTGCTCATGCCCTCCCCTTCCTTATGCATGGAGCATTCTTTGTCCGTGCTCTGTCCATACTTTGTTATTTTACATAGTATCCGTTGTCCTTGTGTGTTCGTGCTCCTAGGCAGCCCCACCTTATCTATGGAACAGGATGTTCTTGGGAATTGTCTCCAAGGATGTGTCTAGCTCTGAAGCAAATTGCAGAGGCAAGAAACCAGATAGAAAAGGATACAATTCTGTTCCTAACAAATGATTCCCATCCTTAGTACAAGCAACTTCTTTAACAAAACCAAAGAGCAAAGGTTAGATTGATTCATGTCAATATGTCCTTTCATTTTCCTCCCTTTTTAATGACAGGTTGCTTCCTGTCAATGGTGGGCTAGGGGGGCATTTAAGGACCATGTGTTTTGCTGGTCTAACGGGAGGAGGGGTGGAGGAGCGGGTCAATGGACACTGAGGAGGCTCTCCCAGTGATGGGAGAGGTAACCATATGCTGGATCAGAGGGATGGGAGGAGAAGGAGATCTCCAAGGGCTAAAAACACTAGAAACCCAATCCATTTCCAGTGAGAGAAGATACTGCCAAACCAGTTGAAGTCAACTGCCCCAGTCCAAGTCTGTACTGGGATGTGGGAAGTTTTCCCCACCCTTGTAGCAATCTCCTCCCTAACTTTTTCTGGACCATCTCTCTGTAAACAACAATTTGTGAGATAAAATTTTCAACACATACCTCCTTCTGTTGCTGACAAAAAGTGTAAAGCAAGTCTATACTGACATTTATATAGCTGTTTTAAACTAAACTGCCATTTAGCCATTAAAGTTAAAACAGTAGCAGTTTCATTAGCTATTATTTCAAGCACAAGTTGTAACCTTATAAGTCTATTAACCACACATACACATGCTCCATACTAATGGCTAGGCAATTGCACATAGGCAAACTTTCCACATATCCCATATAAGCCATCTGTAGCATGCCAGTTAAGAATTTAATTACCCACATCCGTCCATAACCCACCCAGTCTAGGTGCATTTTCAAATGAGTTACTAGGTTTTGTCAGGTTAATTCCAAACTGAAAGGTTACATTAAGCAAAGAAAAGACCTTTGTTTGTAATGTATGGTTTTTTCAGATTAATCATTCCATTATATTCTCCCCCTATTAGTTCTACCCATAAGAAAATTATAACCATTGCATCAAATCGAAACCTCCTATATCTTCAGGAATTACGATAGCACTATCTCCTAAAACTACTGTGTCCAAGACAGGTTGATCAGGTTAAGTGCCCCAATTTTTACACATTTAGTCTACCCACTGTTCTACTATTACTATATCACAAGTTCTTCACAAGTGCATGCTGGTCCACAACCACAACAATGTTAACAACAACAACATTCAATGATACAGGTCTTCCGGTTTGAGCTTCTTCGGTGACAGACCGAAGCCTCATCTCTCCGAGGCTTCGATCTGTGCTCGCCGCTGGAGCGCCCTGAGCCGGCTGGTTTCAGGGCTAAGCCACCCCATAGAGGTGGTGAAGAGGGGGGAGACTGCCTGCAGGGTTGAAGAGAGCCGCATCTCTCCTCCCCAGCTGGCCATTACTCCCTTTCCCGAAGGCAGTTGTAGCGGTAGTCAGAAATGGCCACCACAAAGAAGAATTCAACCGGAAAAGAATGTGCAGGAGGAAGATAAGAGAAAGTTTTGGTTGACCAGGTCAAACAGCAAAAGCAACAAATAAGGTACCCTGGAATTTAAACTTAACAACATTGTTCCCAAAGAAGATTTTGAAGCTGCGAAGGAGAGAGAGAAGGGAAAGGATTAGGTTTTTTTTCTTCCCTTCCTTATGCTGACAGCTAAGAGACTTAAGCAAGAAACTGAAAAAAAATCCACTTTGACATTAATAGGCATCTAAGCTGAAAATAAAAGTCAAAGGGATAATAAAGATTTCTGGACATTTAAAAGTTTTTAAAAACTGGAAAGGAGAAAAAAAAGAATAGAAGGGCAGGATCTGGAAAAATGGAGGAGACTGCCTGGAATTAAGGAATGGAACTGTAATTAAAAGGAACTTACAGTGAAATTTTAACAAGATTCCTCAAAGATACATTTTAATGGAAACTTGGTAACAAAATAATAGAACCCCAGGAAGAGAAAGTGGAAAAAAGAAGCAAGTAGAAACAGCCTTGGATTATTTGGATTACTTGGTGATTTTTGGTTTTTGCATCTAGATGACTAAAATTAACCGGGTGGTTGTTTAAAAGTTTTTAAAATGGTATCACTCTTAGAAGAACTGAAAATGAAACTTTAAAAATGGAAAGAAGATGCACAAGAAGGGAGAAATTCTTTTGGTTTCGTGTTTCAATTCTTAGAAATGGAGATCTGGAACTATGAGAAGCAACAAGAAACGCTTGCAGAACAAGAAGATTGGGACAAAGAAGAAGCCATCTTTAATGATCAAATAATTTTAAGTGGGAGGAAAAAAGAAAAGGGGGAAAAGAGAGTGAAAGGTTTAAGATTAGAAAAAACAACCAAAAAGAAGAAGAACAATTTGAAAGATAAGTATAATATTAGAAAGCAACAGAAGAGGGGATTACAGATGAGAGAGTTAGAAGTAGAGAGATGAGGGGGTAAAAAGGGGAGGGAGAAGAAGAGGGGGAAGAAGGCAAGGAAAATAAGTTGTAAAAGACAGAAACAAGAAATGGAGAAACAGGGAAAAGATATAAGGATTGTAACCATAAGTTTGTTTAGAGATAATGGGTGAAAATTTAATTGTAAAAGGGATTCTGCAAGGGTACATAAGATAGCTTTGTTATATTACAAATAGAAATAACTTTAGAAAATATGATGATGGATAAAATATTTATTGTAATGCAGTGGGATGTTTGTTAATAAATAAATGAATTAAAATGATTGAGAGAATTAAAAAGGGAACATTTTTAATTATTAGTAATGATTTATAAAAATATAAGTGAGAAATATGGAAAGAAAAGAATTAACTATGGAAAGTTTATAAGTGTTCCCAAGGAAGTATGATATTCAATTGAAAAGAAATGTTAAAGATGTTAAGATTTTAATGCATATTAATGATAGAATTGAATTGGAATGGAATGTGTTTTATTTACATATATATATAATAATTTTTTTTAAGAATATAGTGTCTATTTTAAGAATGTACCAAGCAGAATTCGATTGGAAGTTATGTGTTATATTGAATGCTATAATCTTAAAGCTATACATTGAAGCTTAAATAAGAGTTTGAATGGATAAAATTAAAGGATATAAAGGTGTCATACTTTAACTACAGGGAAAAATTTGCTTAATAAGAAAAGATAATGTGAAATTGAAACAGGACAGACAAAAGTATAAATATAATGATTTGAATTGAGATAATTAAAACAAAGTTGAGAAAATTAAAAGGGGAAAAATTATGTAGAAAATATAAAACGGTAATAAGATATGGAATAGAATATAAAATGAGCATGAAATTGAGTTTTGTGTCTGTATGAAGAAGTGATAAACTGGGACCATGCTATTTTCAAAAAAGATGTTTTATTTGTATTTTGTTTTTGTGAAAACCCAAATAAATTTTTCAAAAAAAAACCATTCAATGATACAGTTACAATCACAGAACCAACACATCCTGTAGGGTGCAAAGTTCCACAGCTTCACTTAGGATCTTCAGATGGAATAACATAGGCCACCATTCAGGCAGGAAAAATCAAAAAGTTGTACTCCTGCAATGAGAAAAAGAAATCACAAACAAAACCCATTCATACCACCATGACCACATTAGTTTTTGATAATGTTTATTCTCAGCTGGTCTTCTCCAGGAACCACTTTCCACTCTTTAAGTTCATCAACTGGTCCTTTTACATGCTTGTAGTGGGTCCGCCCTTTGTCTTTGTTCGGACTGCTGTTTCAGTGGTAAGCAGAACTTGGCAGGACCTGACCCAGGCTTGGCTAAGTTTTTCCTCACATCAGCTTTTTATCAGGATCCAATCACCAGGCTGGAATTTTCTCTGGGATCTTGGAGACGCCCACAGTTCTGCTGTGGTTCCCAGTAGTCTTGGTGTGCTGGCCACGGACACGGAGGCCCTGGAAGTGGTGCTGGCCCTGATGGGCCCTGATCTTCAGGCACTCCAAATCCTTGCACAGCTTGTTGTCCAGCCCATTGGGCAAGACCTGCCTATACTTGCCATCCTTGCAGTCCTTCTGCCTGTTGAGGAACCAGTCAGGGATCTTGTGGTGGTGACCCACTCGACCTCATCTTCTGTGAGCTCCCCAGCTTGCTTGGTCAGGTCGATGTCTGCTTTCTGCAGCACCATGTGAGCATAGCGTCTGCCCATCCCTTGATGGCGAAGGCGATCTTGCGCCACCCATCAATGTTGGTGTTCAGGACATGCAGGATGTGCTGGAACTTATGGACAGCAAATTTGGGAGGTAGGGTTTGAGCTAGTAGTCCTTTGTTTCTGAGGTAAGATAAGAAGAGAGGACAAGTATACAGTTCTTTACAAAATATATATATCTTTACTTTCGTATTGTGGAATTTCCCAATGTGGTAATTCAAACATTTAATAAGGTAAAGTGTCCCTTTTTGGACAGGTTCGAATTCTGAGCAAGGCCAAGGGTAAACATTTGGTCCATAGCATAGTTGAATTTGCATTCCATGGAATGTGACATTCCCACTGAATTCCCACACTCCATGATTGATTGAAGTACTTTTGCAGAAAAATGAGTTGCTGTCTATAGTTTCTACTATCCCATATCTAGGTATTATTTGTTCCAGTATAATTTTGGTGATTACTGCTGTAGCGGCTCTCATGGTTGGATAAGCCTCAACCCATCCAGTCAAGTGATCCACTATCATCAATAAATAATTAAATCTACCCACTTGAGGGAGTTCAATAAAATCAATTTGAATGCATTGAAATGGTCTCACGCTAAATGTTTCCCTCCCTTTTCTTTACTAACTCTTTTACATACTATACAAGTCACATATTTATTTAGATACTGTATTCATAAGTTTCCAAAACAAATCACATCATACCTTAGTCCCCCAATGAGAACCCTGATGATGTAGTACTTCCAAAATCAATATTTACCTTCCATCAGGCAATAGCCATTTCCATTCTCCAATTTCTATTGCTCCCACTTTCTCTAACTCCTTCTCATAACATTAAACATTCCTCCTACCATTGCCATCCAAATCAACACAAGTCTGTGCAGACCAACTTAACTTTCTAGCTAGCTAGACCAAAGGTCCGTCTTTTCCTTCTATTACTTTCATGCAACTATCCCAACACAATAATGTTCAAGACCCAATCCTCCCTATAAGACTCCTTTTAACCTTGACAGATAGGATCTAGCATTTTAGACAAAAATGCCACTGGCTGTCTTTTTCCTTCCCACTTCTGTGTTAAAATCCTCAAAAGCCATTCCCTTATACATGTAACGCTAGGCTTTTGGTTTTGCGTACAAGTCTTTATTCAACCTACAATATCCAGGCAATGCTAGAAATTTTCTCTCTCTTTTTACATATTGTAATCTCTTACTCATCTCTGTAACAATTCCTAAAAGGACAACAACTTTTGTTGCTAACAAACAAACAGTGAATGCCATAGGATGAAGCATCTTGACTCCTAAGCATCCATAAGGCACACAGACATAAAAGAGGGTGGTAAGAAGAACTTCAAAAATAAAACAAACAATCTAAATGAGGTATTTTGAGTCAATGTTCTAAAATATATTTGAGTCAAACTTTAGTGTCAAATCTCTGCTTTGAGCAAAATATGGATTAAGAGCATATACAGAGTGTGCCTGGTTTGACTTTTGATTCCCTTGCTGAGCTCAGCTTAGCTCCATTGTAACTGGGAGCTGAGCCAGCTGCAAAGATACAGTTTCTAGGCAAACTGCCAGCCCTAGCCATCTAAGGTTATTTTGTTTGCAGAAGCGCTGAGAAAAATCATGATCTCAAAAACTTCCAGGAGAAAAAAATCAAATCAAATCAAAATTGTATTCAGATCAGCAGAGCTTTCTATATGCATATGAAACAGATGCAAAACAGTGAAAGGCAAAGCTGCAGAAGCAGGTTGCCCCGCCTTTCTCAGGCAAAAGCTCAATGTTTCAACTAAGCAGAAAAAAATGGTTAAAGCAAATCAATCATTATTTACAATTATTTTCTGGGAGCTTTTTCACAAGCCAATGAGCTCCATTTTCTAAATAATTTTGTGTGCTGTTATTAGAGGGTCTCATCCTCCAGGTTTGGAAATGATTACACACAGACACATTCACACACACATTTCCAGGCCTGGGGAGGTTTTGTCCCTTTAAATCTCCACTTTTTCTTTATTTAGCAACCTGTAGCTTGTTCTCAGAGCAGTGGGATAATGCTTAGGGTGTTCAGGGTAGGCAGAATTGGAGCCTACCAGCAAATGACCAGATCAAAGTCACTGGATAAAATTTTCCAGGAGTGCTCTAGACTTTGCCTCTGGTCCCAGCTGGTTTCTTCCATTTGCCATAGTGAAGGCCACTGAACTTCAAGGAGTTCCGCTTGTGAGGAGCTGAACACAGCCATCTCGATGAACGATGCCTTCGAGCTCCACGTTCGGGCGCCAGAAAATGTATGGTCCCAGAAATTTCCTTGAACCACCAGCTTCTAGGAATCGCAGTGGTCTCCACTTATTGGCAGCTTCGGTTCCTGGTGGTCACTGTGCTCCTAATAGCAGGAGAACACCATTGATTCTGTTGGCAGGGTTTGCCAAAGGATTGATTCTTTGGGTCTCACTCCACTCCAGTTCTCAGCCTTCATGGCCTCTGCTATGGCCGCTTCTGCTTCCAAAGGGTAACAGCAGATTTCTTCCTGCATGGGTCCAGTGGCCCCTTCACCAGTCTCTGGTTCTTGTTCCATCTTCCCTGGGTCTTTATGCTCCCGATGCGTGTAGAGAGCATTTCTAAGCTCAGGACCCTGTGCAGCGGTACCATGTAAGCACAAACTGTTGTAATTTTCTTTGTTAGGGGATTCAGGCTAATGTCAGTGTTTCAACCAAACTCTCCATTTTAATTCAGCACTCAGAGATAAAGTCCATCCAAGTAAGAATTTATTAGAGAAGTCATATTGGCATATCTGGGAAAACCCGAATCTGAATTCCCGTATTTCCCCTGCTATATTAAACTCACACCCAGCCCCCTTACTGATGACCCTCAAGTCACACTTTCCAATCCACTTCCATTCTGAACTCCCGCCAAGTTGGGTCCAATCCACGACTCGGCCTTGGGGTCTGGTGAAAGAATGTTGTGGCTATCCTCCTTTCTTTACTTTCATTCCCATGGTTACCCTTCTGGCAGCCCCAAATCTGAAGAAAGATGGATGGGGGCTGACACATTCTCTATCACTTTTGCCATTTGTTTGGAATAAATTGCCTTAATCATGTTTATGAACTTCTCACCAAAGTCCATACAATCTAGCTGTTGTATCATAATTTGCCAATTTACATTGTCAAATGCTTTCTGTGCGTCTAAAATGATCAGCACCATTTGTTTTTCAGAGTGAAAACTGACTAACCTATTTATCAAGCATAGTTGATAAAGTTGCATGGAGTCCCCCTGTAGAGTAATCTCTGATCGGGGGTGGGGGTTCAATTTACTGCTAAATTCTGGAGGGAATTCATGAGAGCCATTAGGTACTCACAGGGGCTTAGCTCAGCATTTCATGCGAGTACTAATGGGGCCACAGATAGGATTAACACCATGGTAGAGCAATACTTAAGGTGTTATGTAAATTAACAATCAGACTGGGCAGAGGTGTTTTCATTTGCTGAGGTAGCATATAACAACACAGTGCACAGTAGTACCAATCTGTCCTCTTTCCAAGTGACCAGCGGTGTAGAGTTTGTTCCCATGCCTAAGCTCCTTAGAGAGCCACCCTCCTCCATGTCGCTAACAGAGTGGATGGAGTCACTGAAAAAAACATTGGAAAATACCTACCAGGCCCTGAGTGAAGCAGCAGAAGCCTATAAAAAGGCTGACAAACATGGATCTCCTCAACCAGAATGTAGGGTGGGAAACAAGGTGTACTTGTCCACAAAGTACCTGAAATTAAAATTGGCCTCAAAAAAGCTTGGTCCTAAATATATGGGCCATTTCTATTATTAAAGTGATTAACCCAGTTAAAGTATAACCTCAGCTTCCTAGGTTACTAGGGAAAATACATCCGGTATTCCACAGTAGTCTATTGAAACTGGTGGTAAATTCACAAATTGGACCAGTGGATTGGGCTCCCCCCAAACTGTTGGTGATTGAGGTTCAAACGCACTTTGAAATAAAAAGGATCCTGGACTCGAGGGTACAGGGGGGGCAATTGGAATATTTGATACATTGGAAGGGATATCCCCTCTCTGAAGCAACCTGGGTTAAAAGTTGGAAGGTAAATGCAGATAGGTTGATAAAACAATTCCATGACAAGTACCCTCAGAAGCCAAAGGGACTTCCCGGTGGGGGAAGGGGAGATTAGTGGCATGAGTGATTGTCTTTATGCTTTATGTCTTGCAAGAACGTTCCTCCAGTTTGGGGGGCATCCTGTCAAGCTTGAATTTAGTTTGGTGATGGAATCGTATGAATTCATTTTGACACACTTGAGAAATGGAGTGGGGGGAGAACTGAGGTGGTTGAAGCTCCAGTCAAAACAGCATAGCTGGGCAATGAATCAGCTGCATTCCAACTGCTGCTCGGCCAGAGGAAGGAGGAGTGAAGTTGCCAGGAAACTATTTCATCTCCTGGTTGGACAATGTGACATATTGTTTTGGAAAAATGAGAAAATTCTAGCTATAGTGACGTGGAAGCCTGGGAAATTTTCAGTACTGGCTTTCATCAGTTCGTGCCAAGATGTGTAATTAAATAAAATGGTTCTTTGAGAAATTGCAATGCCTCTGAGTTTGTTTTATGATAATTGCATTACTTGGAACGTGACAACAATATTTTAAGATAGATGTGAAGAACAGAATATGGGACATATGAATAAGAATTAAGTATTTAAAAAGGGAAAATTAGAGATTGAACGATGATACTGTTAAATATACTTAAATAATAGTATGATCAGCAGTGAAATAATAAAGTCAAATAGTGAGCATAACAAAATAATGACAGAATATATTTTAATATAATTTATATTGTGATTGGTATCAGAATTGAATATTGAAACATTGAATAATAAAATAATGAAGGATGACATTTTAATAGAAATTTGATAGATGTGAAGAATTAAATTAGGGAAATATGAATATGAATTAAAGTATTAAAGCAAGTGAAAGTTGTAATGGATTAGAATAGAGAAAGAAATAAGAGAAAAAGGGAATAACAGTATACACATTTTTATATTATATTATATTATATTATTATATTAAATATAAATGTAACAACAAGAGGGAGGTTCAGAAATTGAATGGTGGTAGTATCAGGTATGTTTAAACAATATGAAATAATGAAATATTATAATCTACTATAAATGTGTACTATTATTAGAAATATATAAGCTAGATAAGTGTAATAATCATGAGTAATCATATTATTTTTATTTGTACCAATATGTATTGCACCCAGGTGTCACACTGTTCACGTATTGATATGTATATGTTATATAAAACTTGACAAAAAAGGAGTCACTTTACTTTATTTAAGAGTCTTCCTTATTTTCACAATAGAGTCTCCAGTAATCACAAAGTAGATAGTTATAGGACAGTGAGTATCACCACAGTCCTCCAAATGAATTTTGTTTATTTCTCTTATCAGAAATTTTTCTAAACTTGTAGAAGTATGGTATATCCCATTCACTAGTAGATGGCACCCTCAGCTTAGGTTTCAAATCTGATAAATTGATTGATCCAAATTTACTTTAATTTATGGAAGCAAAGTCAGTTATTCAAATAGATTCAAATAGGTAGTTCCAGCATTTTATAATGCCTTTCCAAAACAATGCCCACCCGGTTTAAAAATTCAATTTTCTATTTTTTAAAAGGTCTTCACCTTTTCTCCCCTTAGTTCCTTTCTTTCAGGTCTAGGATTTTTCTCTCTATGGTTGTTCGCTGCTTTAAGAAATAGTTCTAAGAGTCTCTTTTCCTGGATTTTCCTCTTTCTTTTTTTTCTTTAAAGTTTGGGTCTAAATTTAAAAAAAATCTTCTCACTCAGCTCCAGTTACTGTTTATCTACATCACTCCTGCACATTTCTTTGTTACCTCAGCTGTCCCAGCTTTATGGCAGCCATGATGGCTGCTCTTCTCCTCATCATGGATGAGAGGGAAGAAACCCTGGGTCAGTCAGGAGAGTTGGTGCTTTCCACGACCTACAGGGCACCCCTCTTCACAGGGTGGCTATAGCTCCTTTCTGAGTCCTCCAATGGGAACAACTCAGCGTGGGAGCACAGAGACCCGCTCCTCACATCCGATCTCACCACAACTTCATCCGGAAGTCCTCCCTGGCCTTCATTGCTGTACATATAGCACAGCTTTTTACATAGCTCTCAATGTCCTTCCTCATTTCCAGTTACCAAAACTGCCTCCTAGCTAGGTGCCACATTGTTAAAAACCCAAAGTGGCCAGCTTGCTTGGTGTCATGACTTCTCTGTAGGACTTGGACCCAGAGAGTTCTGGGGATGTACAATTTGGGACCCTTCTATGCTAACCCCTCCCTGAGAATCAGTTGTTTGTTATACCCAACCTGTAACTCGGCCTTGAGCTTCTGGGTTAATTCACCATTATGTTTGGTCTACCTGGAGCGGGGTGAGTCAGTGGTCAGGGTGGTGTTGGGTCAACGCCCAAATTGGCGCCGCTTTGGTTTCTGCTCAGCAATGCTGCACTTCCCACAATGTTTCAGCTCGAGATCCAGTGCTATAGCCATCCGATACCATTCATGGATCCGATTGAGACTCTCTGGTAAAAATAGACTTGGAGCAGCTCTCAGTCTAGACTTTCCTTGAAGTAGTAGTTTCAGGATTCCAGCAGTTACCCAATTAAATCATTAGTCTCAAGCCAAATTCCCAAAATGTCAAAGGATTTATTGGAAGTCAACATGTCAGCATGACCCGGGCACAGCCAACTCTGAGACACGTAATTCTCCTTAGAGCTGCGAGGAGCATCCAGATAGTGGGTGGTGCTTCAGTCTTCTGCTCTTGTAGGCTGAGCTAATTCTTGAGGAACGCTCCTCCCTCCGTCACGTGCCTCCATTGGAGCGTTCCCCCCAGTTTATGCTCAGCCTCTAGCAGAGTAGGCAGTGTTTGTTTTTTCTCCTCTCTTGGCCGCTTCAAGACTGCAGTATTTGGATTGTTTTCTCCTCTCAGGTTGTATTTAAGTTTTCGTTAATTCCTTAGCCCTGCGCAGTAGTTGTTGGGGATCCTAAATTCCCCTGGGAGCCTTTAGCCCCGGGGGGGCCAGGGAGAAGGCTAGCCAGTTTTCCAGGCTACCTCCCCCATCCTTTCTCCATTGCCTTCTGCTGGTTTTTCTCTGTTTATTTTTATTGCCTGCTTCGTTCCGCTCCGTTTCCCCCCCCCCCACCCGAACGCCGTTTTCCTTCTCTGTCCGAAGGTTGCAGGCTCTCCTTGCCTGCCTTCCCCCTGGGGACCTTTGCCTTGCCCTGGAGAGCTGTTTTCTCGCCGCTGCTGGAGCCTGTAAGCCCACGTAGCAGGCGGACACCATTTTTAGCGCCGCCTCATGGCCAGGCGCCATTTTGAATTACCCTTATCTTTCAGATCGCTGCAGCATGCTCAGAATCAGGCAGCAGGACCGGCTGGCCTGCTCAGATTGCTATTATAGACATTTTGCCTGGTTTTTTCGTTGGAGGCCAGTTTCTCTGCCTCCCTTGTTGGCTTCTTCCGCGGCCTGCCTTAGCTGGCGCGGTTTGACTCCCACCACTCCCACCCAG